TAATGTAATGGTTAAGTATCCAGGTTCTAGAGACAGACTGCCTAAACTTCTAGCATTGCTACTTATTCATATGATCTTGGATGAGTCGCCTAGTCTCTGTGCTTCAGGTTTTTTTTCTCTCTAATAATAACAATGCCCATTTCATAAGGTGGTTGTGGGAATTAAATGAAAGAATGTAAGTAAGGTGCTAGAACAGTGCTGGTGTTGAATCTACAGTATAGCTGTGTACAGTGCTTACCATCTGATGGTTCCAGGGAGGGAGTATCAAAGGCGAAATCTGGAACAAGAGGTGGATGGTGGGACAATGATTAGGACCTCTTCAGATAAAGTGTAAATATAATGGATGTGACAAGCTGCTGCAGGAAAATGCAATATTTAGTTACAGTCCATGAGGAAAACTGAGGTCATAGAAGGTGGAGACCTAAGGTGGTTGCACAGGAAAAAGCTTATCCCAAACAGTGATCAAATAAAAAGTAAATTACCAGTGAATTATTGTAGAGTGGCAGTGACTATTTAGAATAACTGAAACCTCTTGACAGAGGTGGATAAACCAGTATAGTCACACCCTCCTAACAGAAATATAAATTGTTATAGTTTTTTGGGAGACTAAATGGCAAAATAAGTTAAAAATCCTTAAATATTCTCACCCTAAATTACTCTTTGATTCTACTTTTAGGTCCTAACACTATTGAAAAGCAATTTAAATTTACAGCAGAAAAATCCAAGATGAATCATGACTGATCTGTACGCTGTTACTGATTGAAAATCTTGCAGAAGTTGAGTACAGACCCCATAAGTCCATGCATCTGTGCAGTTTCTGTTACTATTCTGTTAAGCTCTGTAAAAGGAATCTTCTTTATTCATGAAGAAAAGTTGACTCAGGCATTGCTGTATAATATGGGAAGCTGAATTCTCTGTGGTTCTTATACTATGATGCAATGCTTCATGCCCTTTTGCAATCTATTGCTCCTGCCAGTCCCATTCCCAGGCAGTCACATACCTGTTTTCTGTCACTGTTATTAAGTAGAAAGATGTTTTAAATTATAATCTCCATCGCTTCTCGGCTTTTTGGCTAAGATCAAGTGTAAATTATAATCTCCAATACTAAAATAGTTAACAGGGCACTTTCATATATTTCTGGGAGTATGAAGTTGATGCAACTTATTTGAAGGCATTCGTCCCTCCCTCCCTTTCCCTCTCCCTCTGTCTTTCCCTCACTTCCGTCCCTCACCTTTCTTCCCCCCCACCCCACCTCGTGGATGGAGCCCAAGACCTCACACATTTCTAGGCAAACAAGTCCAGCTACACCTCCAGCTCTCTGAAATTGCTAAAAGAAACAGTACATATAATGAAGTATTGTGTTATTAAAATTGGTAGCAAAATATATTTGTGTACAAGAAGATCATAGATGTAAGTTGTTTTCAATTCACAATTAGAAAGTACATAAATAAAATGGACTAAAATCATATTTAAAGCAAAAAATTAAACATAATTTCCTCTGGTTTGTGAGATTTATCTGCATTTTTTCCAGTTCATATGTTTCTTTTAAATTTTTATTGAAATTTCTTTCTGATTATACAAAACTAACACTTGGCTACTGTAAGTGCTACTTGCCTCTTGAAAACTAATACAGAGGTATAAAAAGAATCTGTAAAGTAGGAATGATATACTACTTTAAACTGTTCAATTAAACTTTTTAAAAACATAAAGCTTTTTAATATTTCAGTACCATCAGGATAAAGTCCCCTGGGACTTGGCCCCTGCTACCTCCACTTTCGCCTTTTGCAGTTCCCACTCCCTCTTCAGCCTCTAGTGATAAGGAACTGCTTGAAGTTTCTTGAAACACGGATTCTTCTCCACCCTTCCTTACTCATGCTGCCCATCTGCCTACAGTTCTCTTCCTCCTTCACCACCTTGAAATTTCCTGTCATTGTCATCTCCAGCAAGACTTTCCTGAACTCCTGCCTAGTAGCATTTCTTCTGTTCATTCTCACTGCTCACCAGACCTATTTCTAGTGAGGCATCTACTACACTGTTTTATCTCTTCATTTTCCCATCCCAGTAGGGTCACCATGACTTGAAGAGAGGACAGTGTTGATTGACACAGAGTCTAGAAGACAGCAGTGAGATCTGAACTATAAGAATGACAGAGAAAGGGGCAGGGATGAGAGAGAGAGAGAGAGAGAGAGAGAGAGAGAGAGAGAGAGATTGAGCAATAGAAATATGGTATGTTGGGGTCAGTGTAGAGTATGAAAAAAATGTGAATATATCTGTATGACTGGATACTGTATGAGATGGGATTATCATGAGGAATTTAGTAGACGAGGATGGAAAGTTAAATAGGAGGTAGATTATTAAGGGCTTCCTTATCATCTTAAGGAGTTTAGATTCTGAGGTGTCAGTGATGGGGAACCAGTGAAAGACTTAAGTTAGAGCATAGTTCAGCCTTGGCAAGATGGTGGAATACAAATCTCTGATTCCTCTTTACCCCCAGGAACACATCAATTTGATGTTTCATAAGCATGTTCCCTTTGTTAAAAATCCAGAAACTAAAGAGGCCCTACACCCCAGGTGAACATGAAACCAGCCATATCAAAACTGGTAGAGAAATTTGATATATTTTTATGCCATGATCCCAGCCTCTTGGCACAGTACCATACAGTAAAAACAGCCCCACCCAAGCTCCATGCTTTTCCATGAGAAGGGAAAGAGGTGTATCAGCATCCAATAACCTCTCTTTTCAGAAGGCTACCCAGAGGATTGGTTTCTTTTTAGCCTGTCTTAGAGTTTAGGTGGGGAATAACATATTCTTGCCATCTGAGACCACAGAGAAAGGAGATGACTTTTGGTCACCATGGCTACTCCCCTTCCAGTATAGAGTTAACAGTTGAAAACTTCAGCACCCAGCTTCATCCTGGGGAGACAAAGAGTGCAGTGTGAGTCCAGTGACTCCATTTATCTGGAGGACACCTGAGGAATTGGCTTCAGTCCTGCTTGTCTCAGAATCTTGATGTAACTGTTATACTGTGGACATCTGGGGACCAAAAACAAAGAAAACAAATTAGACTAAAACAAAAGTTTGAGAGATACTAGGAATTCATGGCCAGGCACATTGGTGAGAGTATTTTCTAGTGTGAGGCCAGTCTGAGAAGACTGGAAGAGAATGGCTGTTTTGTCTAATGTACAGACACCAACACAGAGAATCAAGGAAAATGAAGAAACAAATATTTTCCATACAAAGAAATGAGATAAATCTCCAGAAACTGACCCTAACGAAGTGGAGATACATGATGGGGGCGGGGATTGAACTGCACTTGTGAGGCACGCATGGTGCCACTGAGCTAAACCCCTGATCCGCAGATATATGATTTTTAACTAACAGAGAATTCAAAATAACCCTCTTGAATATAGTCACTGGAGTCAGAAGAATAATTCACGAATCAAGTGGGAATACCAACAAAAAGAATTTCAAACCTTTTTTTAAAATACCAAACAAAGGGCCGGGGATTTAGCTCAGTAGTTTTGCCTCCTGCTGTGCAAGCACATAGGACCCGCGTTCGATCTCCGGTACCAAAAAAAAAATCCAAGTGGAAATCATGGAGATGAAGAGTACAATAATTGAACTGAAAAACTTGTTAGAAAAATGCAACAGCATACAAGATTAAGCAAATGAAAGGCCATTGGAAATTAGGCAGAGAATGGGTTAGGTGCTAATAAACGTTTTGAGAAATGTTGGACATAAAATAAAGAGGAAATTCTGGTTAAACCAATCCCCTCAAAGGTTTTGTGTGTGTGTGTGTGTGTGTGTGTGTGTGTGTGTGAGTGAGAGAGAGAGAGAGAGAGAGAGTTTACGTTATGTTCTGAATCTGTTTATCGTAGAACCCATTAACTTGGGGACTGTGGTATAGAACACATGTCACAGAATGGACCCTAGGGAGAGTAGTAGCAGTGAAACCTTTTATTGACTATTGTAGCAGCCACTGGTGCAGAACATGGGGTGCTGGAGTCAGATCAATTAAGAACAAAAAAAGAACAAGGGAATTAAGTTGTGTGTCTCAACACATTCTCCACAAGGGATGACTTATCAATAATTTTAAAAGATAGTTTGATTTGAGACTTATTATCTGATCTAAAGATATTAGAATAAGCAGTGTGAAATGTGGTTGGAAACTTCTCTGAAACAAGTGATAATCCAAGGAAAGTGCTTCTCTAATCTGTTTAAAACTCCATCAACTTATGACAAAGCCACAACCCTCTCTCCTTTGAGGACTGTCGACTGGCTTGAATAAATGCTGAAGACAACGAAGGGCAAATTATAGGGTGTATGATTGGACATGAAAACTACTTATTTATGGGTGAATCAGAAATGGTTGCCAGGAGTATAGTTTGGTTAATAAACATGTAGATGGTGGTGTCATAATGAGCTCAGCAAGATTTGGACAGTATTAATTTGGGGGAAACGATGTCCTGATCATTTCTGCATGTTTTTGAAGTAGAGTTGCCTGTGGGATATCTATTTGGAGAGAAGAGGATCCATAGGCCATTGGATATGTATGTTTGTGTGTCTGAACATGATGCTGCCTTTGTTTTACCCTCTGTACCTCAGTTACTACATACTCTGGGTCATATTTCCTCTCTCTTTTATGAGATATAAAATACTGAACTGCAAGATGAAGGTACTGCATATGCCCAGTCTTATTCCTCATTGTATGTTCACACACCCATTTCCCTCATCCCTCCATAGCATCTCCACCACACACAAGCTTCATTGAAACCACTTTTGTGAATTTTTAGAACTTCTGATTTTAGAAATATTGAAACATATGTTATTCACTTCTAAATGGAAGCTGCAGTTGCCTCTACAGATAAGAAGACAATACTTGATTGGCAAGTTTCTCAGTTACCATACTAAGGGAAGCCATTGAGTTAATAATACTGCAATATGCTTCTGTTTCAGTTATTTAAAGTATATTAACAGTGTTCCTTCATTTTATTTATAGCTCCAAAAGGAATTCTTCATCTGTCTCCTGATGTTTATCAAGAGATGGAAGCCAGCCGCCACAAAGTAATCTCTGGCACTACTCTAGGCTATTTGTCACCTAAAGATATGAACCAACCTTCAAGCTCTTTCTTCAGTATATCTCCCACATCGAATAGTTCAGCCACAATTGCCAGGGAACTCCTTATGAATGGAACATCTCCTACAGCTGAAGCCATAGGTTTAAAAGGAAGTTCTCCTACTCCCCCTTGTTCTCCAGTACAACCTTCAAAACAACTGGAATATTTAGCAAGGATTCAAGGCTTTCAGGTATGAATTAAAAGCAAAAACAAAAAGCATTAGCCCCAAATCCTTCATCTATCCATCAGAAAGCTCATCCTTGCCTGTTAGTATGGCTTGTATGCCACTTACATTGTAAGTTACTTAGGAACACAGAGGACAAAAAAAAAGAGAGCCATACACACATGCTTCGTTTTTCCATCTAGTAATTCTTTTGCTGCCTGGCTCTCCATTCATTCATATTCATTCATTCATTTTCTTTTTCTCCATGTGCTCTCCCCCCCCCCCCAGTCTCTCTTCCCCTCTGTCTGTCTCTTTCTCTCCCCTCTTTGTCCTCCCCCGCCCCCTGCCACTTTCTTCTGTCTTCCAGTTGATCTTGGTTGGGTGCATCTGTTTCCTCACTCTGTCTTCCGCAAATAAAGATTCTGCCTCCACACATTCGGTATTAGTACTTCACACTCATTTCTCCCACTTTTTACATTAAAGTTGAGTTTTTCTAATGATTTTACTTTTATAGCAGTTTTGAATTTGGTGTTCTTTTGCTAGTAATGATTCAGGTACACCATTAAGGTGCAGCATAAGTTAATTGAACATATTTGAACAATAATGAAATGCTTTCTAGTTATTTGAGGCACAATAATAAGTATTTGTTTTATTGGATCCTTTTGTGAACCATCTAGGTGGAGTACCACCTACCTTCCATGGTACCAACTCTATTTCATGAGGTAGTCTATAACCATCTTACAGTTTAACTTGTGCAAGTGAATTTGGGGATAGAAACCCCCTTCATTTATTCTTTGTTCCCTTTTGGGAAAAAAAACACAAACCAACACTCCTTTGTAGGTATTTCAGAGCTTTTAAAAGAATTGTTAAGTCTAGGAAAGGGAAATACGTGTGACCTGATTTTTTAGTTGCCTTGAAAATCATGTACTGAACTGTAATCACCAACCTGACTGAACAAACTGAGCTTATTTGTGTGTAGAAAGACAATGCTGCCAGACCTCACTGTTCTCAGCTTCCTTTCCATCTTAGTCTCATCCCTTAAGACCAAAAACTGTAATTTCCTTTAGCAGTGCTCTAGAAGACCTGTATTGTGTAGAATGATCATGTATTTATAAACATTTTACAAGTTTAGATTCTAAAATGAGAAAGATCATGTGTTTTGGGGGTATTTTGCATGTTTGATTTTGTTTTTTTCTTTCACTGAACCTTTCTGATTCTTTCAGATCTATTGCCAAGTAGTTATTAGTGCTTTTAATTGGACTATTAATATGAAAGAAGCTGTTACCAATTATTGGCTGTCAACTGAAATTTTAAATGCTTAACTTTAAGGTATAATTTTAGAATTTGTTTTTGTTGTTTACCTTAAGAATCACAATAAATCACTGTTTTAACAAAGATGTTGACTTATAGTTGAAATAAACTAAGTAATATTTAGTTCTACCTGTAATCTGCATAGGATGAATTAGAAATAAACTCTGATGAAAAAAATCCTTACTTTTTTGCAAATCTAATTGTTTAGAAATATCAGAGTAATACCACATTTCTTAGAAACAAAGCACAAATCACATTCAACGTCTGAATTGATTTTTGCTTGGATATATTACAATAGATGTAATTTTGCTGCCAGAAAAAAACTTAATTTTTTAAATTCATTTTTGTTTGTTAGTTCTTGGCAATGAATGACAACAAATATAATTTAAATATATCTTCACTTTAACCAAAAGGTAGTCTGCTTCCCCCATTATTGGGCTGATCACCTAGACTTCTTTAAAAAGCATATGCTGACGGGCCCGGGATTTAGCTTAGTGGCTCCTCACCTGCCTTGCAAGCACAAGGTCCTGAGTTTGATCCCCGGTACTGCAAAAAAAAAAAAAAAGAAGAAGCATATGCTGAGATAAGACACTCTTATTTATGGACAAGTTAAACATTTCCAGATCTGTATACCGTGATTTTCACATACTGATGAATATAATCATACGGTTTTAAAACATCACAGTGCTTCTTTGGTTGAAAGAGCTGGCATTGATGTAAAATACTGTGTTGCTGACGGATCACAACCCACAGCTAGGAAGTGCAAAAACGCTCTGTGGGAAGTGGCTTAGCATCTATCACACGCACAACTCATCTTCATAATGTCATAATAGAAGGTTGTTTGTGGTTAAGAGTTTTCAAGCGTGTTTCTTTCTAGGTGACTTTTTCAGGTATATGTACCTGGCAGAAAGACATGTAGATTGTTTCTATTTCTTAAATACCTTAATTGGACTGTAGTTTAGAAATTATAGGATCAGCTTGTTAAAGACTATATGCTATTCTGTTACTTTTATTTCTGTAAAAACAATAAATTCTTTTTTTTGTTTTTAGATTAGCACCTTTTTATTTTATTGCATACTGAACAGATATTATTGCTTATTGAATATTGTATAAACCCTTCTTTGGCCTTCCTTCACGCATTACCATTTAATTTAAGCCTAACCAAACTATTTTATATGACAGCTGTATTGTATTAACAAATGAAAAATATGTGAGTATATGGAAAACAAAGTTGTTTTAACTTTTAATATTTTATTACAGTCTTTAATTGAAGATTTTAAATTATAGAAGGCTAATTTGCACAAGAGAATATAGGCTTTAACTTCACATCCTTTTGTTTAAGTAAAACAGTAAAAGTATTATGCAAAGTTATATTAGGAAAATTGATTTCACAGAACAGAAAGTGACTGAACACTTGCACATTCTCATATTTTTACCCTTGCTTGGACTCACCTAAAGATTTTTATCATTTTGGAAGCAAGTCGTTTGAATCTCTTGTCATACTTGTTCCTTTGAAGTTTTTATTGAATATATTTTAATTATATTTTCATAAAACCTGGCTGTCCTTAATGATTTATTATTTTTAGTTGTATGTCATTAGTTCTGTCAACCTCAGATATTGCCTAACAGTCAGCCTGCTTCTGTAACACTACACATTTCAAACACTCATTCAAAATTACAGGCATACCATAGTGCTTCAAAGTTCTATGTTTTGTACTTTGATGCTCTTTAGTTATAATGCCAAGGTGTTGTCTTTCAGCTTTTTTTAAAGAAAATTACAATGAAGATATTCTTGAAATGCTGTGCATTTGAGCTGAAGTAGATTGTTTTATGTTGTAGTTTATGTTATTCTAAGTTTTTATATCTTTTATGCTTTGCCATACCAATCATACTAGAAATCATAGAAGTATAAGTAGTTCCTTTGTTTAAATGGAGTCATTAGAAATTTTTTTGTTGGGGGGGTACCAGGGATCGAACTTGGGTCCTTGCACTTGCAAAGCAGGCAGCAGTAGAAAAATTTTTAAATTGGAAATGAAAGTGAACTATGTTTTCTAGATGTATTTAATTGTACTTTGCTATTCTGTATCTTCCTTCTGATCCTCACCCACTGGGGTCATTTGTGAAACATTCAATGTAAAATATAACAAACTAGGATTTTTTTCACTAAATAATGTAAAGAAACACTTAGTTGGTGTTTTAGTTAAACTATATTAATTTTCCAAAATAAAAAAGTTTTATAGAAGGGCTTTTTTTTTTTTTGGTACCAGGGATTGAACTCAGGTCCTTGCGCTTGCGCAGCAGGCAACGAAACCACTGAGCTAAATTCCTGGCCCTTTTTTTTGGTTTTTTGAGACAAGGTCTTGCTGTATAGTTCTGGCTGGCTTTGAACTCACTATATAGCACAGGCTAGCCTTGAACTCACAGTAGTCCTACTGCTTCAGCCTTCCAAGTTCATTATTGTTCTACATAGGGGTGCCATTTGCAGCAAGATGAGAATGTCTACTTAAATTAAAAACTGTTTTCAAATATAATTCACACTTTGTACAGTTCACCTGATAGCTCTCCTTTTGTGAAGTTTAATATGATTACAGCAAGCTTGTTTTGTAGTTACAGACTTCTTTTACATATTCATTCTTAACAGCATGACCTCAATGTAGATTATATTGAGGTAGGGGTTCGGGGTGGGAGTTATATATGACTGGGCTCCCTGAAAATCTGACGGTCAACCATCTCCTTTCTCTTCTCTTCTCTTCCATGTAATTAATGTTTTATAATCCGTACATTTATCATCAAAGAGACTGCAACTTTTTTTAAACAATAGAGTATCCATTTAAAAAAAAATATATATATATGTACAGTTTTATAGTTTGCCAGTAGGGGAATATGGAGAAATCATTTATATATGTGTATGCTCCCACATAGAAATATATTTTTCCATTTTTAATTTTCCTTGAAACAAAACTTAACTGTGTCATATCAGAGCCCTGGTTTTCATCTAGACCAGTGGTGGTGAATCTATGACACATGTGCTGCAGTGGGCTGTTTGTATCACTGAAAACTCTCAAAGGTTTGCCATCACTGATCTAGGCTATTATACAAATGGTAGTAGAAAATGATTACAAATTACTTAGACTCCAAAGAGCAAAAAACACTTTGTGGGTTTGGCCTGGGGTCAGCAGATGCCTCTGTAATTTCCGTGAAAATACCTCTTGAGTTGGCCTCCACTATTTTCAAAGACCCTGGAAAAACTAGATGTGTGTGTGAGCTCCCCAGTTGTGTTCTTTGTAAGGGCAGCCCAAATTCATGCAAATTGATGCATTACATCAGTTATCTTTAGACCTTAGATGCTGGCCATACCCTTAGGCAGATGCAGACTGCATTTCACGTAACTGTTTTTCCATAAAAACCAGTGGAATTACAGATGAACTTATTTTGTTGAAATTTTAAACTCTGTAGAAAAAATATACTATGTTTGAAGAAAGAAATCCTGATGCATATTAAATGAGTAATGGTAATACAGGTAAGAACTAGAGTAAAACCATTCACTATTACTGCATTAACTGTCTGGGACTAACCTCACCCTAAATTATTGGCATATATAACTATGAAACTGAAAAGGACAGACACTCATCTTAAACCTTGATGTACCAATGCATACATAATAAGACATATAAGATATTTAAAAGAAAATGTAATAGATAAACACAGTAAGAGCC